ACTGGGCATTCCTAAATTACAGTTGGTACTTCCGCCACCTAGTATCTCCTCTGTTAATCTACAGGATGTTCCATGAACTCGACACAGAAGCGTATTTTATATTTTTACTGTCATATTTTATTAAGGAAAAATATTGAGATAGAAAGATGTTAATATTATTGAACTTGGATATCTTATATTGAAGTTGGATTGAAATTTATTATCTTAATGATATGATATATTTTAAAAATTTTTCTTTCTTCTTTTTTTTTTTTTTTCTTTTTTTTTTTTTTTTTATAAATCTGACATTTTATTGATTTTGGATATATCGAAATTTGAGATTGTACATTATTATTTCAATAATATGATATAATGTAATATATTGTTTGATTAAAAAAAAAAAGATGTATAAGTAAATCTTCATTCTGGCTAATAAGTAATATTTTGGAATTTTTACTATTTATTATAAATATTTATATAAATAAATAATACAATATAGTATATGGTTCACATGGAAATGAAATTTTATAATATTAACAATGCCAATATTTTCTAATTATTTAACCAACTCAATACTTTCAAATGGTCAAAGAAGAAAAAAAAAACGAAAATGATCGATTATTTTTCCAGAAATCACATTTTTTTTTTTTTATTCTTATAGAAAATTATTACATATCAACTTTTTGGAATATTTAAGAAAAAAATTTTCTTTTTTTTTTTATTTTGAAATATATTTGAAAATTATTGACTCTTTCTTTTCTCTTTGTTGTTATATTTAAAATGTTCGAACATGGAGTTTCTCATAGCATCCTTTTAAAATTGATCTACAAAATATCGGATAATCCGCATTGCGATTTTCCAAACCAGTGATACACGCTCGACGTAGAAAGGAGAACGGAGGAACGAGTGGGTGTGAGTTTCCGTTTAACCCTTTACACACGCGTTACACATGATATGGCACGCGGTGAAGTGAGTCCCACGGAAGAGAAACGACGACAACGACGACGACGACGACGACGACGATGATGATGATGATGATGACGATGACGACGATGGATGTAGGGGCGGGTTTTTTAAAACCTCATGCACGTAACACGAAGAGATATTTTAATTAAAATCTTTTTTATTTCGAACAGCAAATACAAAAAATTTTTCAAAATAAATTAATTCGTTAAAAGTGTAACAAGCTGTATGAAAAAATAAAAAAATTTCAATGAAAAAAAAAAAAGAAAAAAAAAAGAAAAGAAAGAAGTTTCAATTATTTAAATATCTATATAGATATGTATTTAGAAATAATTTAAATAATAATTATTTTTTTTCTTAAAAAAAATTATATTACAAATTAATTAATTGAAATAAAATAGATTAATTAAATATATATATATATATATATATATATATATATATATATATAAAAAAGAAATTATTAATTTAAAAAAAAATTATTTGAGATAATAATGAGGTTCTTTTTTTTGAAAAATTTAATTATTTACAAACGAATTGGTCAGTATGAAACGAAGAGTTCTACATAAGAGAAGAAAAAAATAAAGAATTACAAGAACAGGAAGAAATTTCAAGGAGAAAAAATGTAAACAATTCAAATTTGTTATTATGAGTTTACATAGAAAAAAAAGAAAAACTAAAATTAATCACAAAAATGAGTTTATTAAAATTAAACAATCCGAAGAAGGAAATAAAGAAATTAAAAAAAAAAAAAAAACAAATGTAATAGTATAAACAATAATCATTTCTTCTCTTCGAAAAAAAAAAATTAAATCATAAATTACGAGAAGACAAAAAAATAATTATAATAAAGAAATGAGAATAAATATAAATAAAAAATAATATAACAAATTATAAAAAAATTAATAAATTACAATAGAAAGAGAAAGAGAGAGAGAGAGAGAGAGAGAGAGAGAGAGAGAGAAAGAGAGAGAAGAAGAGAGAGAGAAAGAGAGAGAGAGAGAGAGAAAAAGAGAAAGAGAAAGAGAGAGAGAGAGAGAGACAGAGAGAGAAAAGAAAGAAAAAAAGAAATGAAGGTACGATATGAAATGTAGTAAGAACCTTTTTTATTCGTGCTACGAGGTACGTCCCTGATGTGGCGAAGGGGACCTCCGAGAGATCGATATCTTGACTTTCCATTGCGCGAGCGTTGGGAACTCGTAAAAGTTGAAAATTCAGGTACTCGCGTAGGATTTGTATAGGGTGAGCCAGAAATTCTAAAGATAATTTTAAAAATCAATCGATATTTTCCATATCTTTTTTAAGTCGGATTATTTTGTCATATTGTACAATTCAAAGCTTAAACTCCCAATAAAATTACTATAGTAATCCAATTACATGCGTAATAAAATTTCGAAAAAAGAATTAATCGATTTTTAAAAATCGCTTGAGAATTGAAAAAAAAATGTCTTTTTTTTTTCTTTTTATTTCCTTCTCATTGCAAAGCGAGGATTCTAAGATATCTACGTACATTACGTATTTATTAGTCACGTAATTCCGTCGTGCGTCACGTTTGTTCCTCGTCACTCCAGCCTTGGCAATCTCTCGCGTGTTCTTTTGGCTCGTATTAGTTTCTCCTTTGATCTATGAATTCGAGAAATTTTTTACTCTTTTTCTTTTTCTCCTTTAATTTCAAAAAGAAACTCAAGGTAAAACGGTCATTTCCAAAAAGAACGAATAATCGTTGGTATGAATTTATTCTAAAGTTTCTTTTATCCGTAATGTTAACTGATATTTGTATTAAATTCTTTTTCTTGAGGATTATATTCCGTTTATTAATGACATACAAAAAAAAAAAAGAAAAAAAGGGAAAAAAAATATTGTGACAAAACGTTTTCTATCATGGAACAAATGATCGTGAAAAAATTTGTCATACACGATACGTTTTCTTTAAAAAGAATTACGAATGAATATTTTTAAGGGATACGATCAAAAATTCGTACGTTAAAAATCTTACGTCGAACGAATGATTTATATCAACGAGGAAAAAAAATTTCCGTTCTCTTTTCTTTTCTCTTTTTTTTTTTTTTTCCAAATAAACAATTTCTAACGTAATTCTTTAAAACAAATACATTTCTCAATCGATCATATTCTCAATAAATCAAAATAAAAAGAGAAAAGAAAAAAGAAGAAAAGTAATCCTTTTGAATACAATATACGAATATGAATTTCTTTTTTTTTCTTTTTTTTTTAAGTTTTCCGAAAAGATTCGCATATAATTATTTATTTATCTTTTTTTTTCTCTTTTAGAACGAAAGGTCTCGCGAATTACTTTTTTTCTGTTTTCTTTTTCTTCTCGATTTATTTCACCAAATATTCAAAGCCTGTCGTCGTCCCCATGTGTTTTTCGGAAAACCGGAGTCCAATAGAAAGCAACACAACGAGGACGACGGGCCGATGCAACAGGCGGCCGAAGGTTCCGTTCTTTTACGACCGAAAGAGAAAGCAAGAGAAACGTATATCCCGAGAGTGAGAGTGAAAAACTCTGCGGGATAGGACGAACGAACGAACGGATACTCGAATGGATATAGTGAGAAAGAGAGATGGAATACGAAAAAGAGAAAGAGAGAGTAAGAAAGAGAGAGTAAGAAAGAGAGAGAGAGAGAGAGAGAGAGAGAGAGAGAGAAAAGAGACAGATGGAATACGAAAACGAGAGAGAGAGAGAGAGAGAAAAGAGACAGATGGAATACGAAAACGAGAGAGAGAAAGAGAAAAAGGAAGAGAGAAAGATCGAATACGAAAACGAGAGAAAGAGAGAGAGAGGAGAGAGAGAAGAGAGAGAGAGAAAAGAGACAGATGGAATACGAAAACGAGAGAGAGAAAGAGAAAAAGGAAGAGAGAAAGATCGAATACGAAAACGAGAGAAAGAGAGAGAGAGGAGAGAGAGAAGAGAGAGAGAGAAAAGAGACAGATGGAATACGAAAACGAGAGAGAGAAAGAGAAAAAGGAAGAGAGAAAGATCGAATACGAAAACGGGAGAAAGAGAGAGAGAGGAGAGAGAGAAGAGAGAGAGAGAAAGAGAGATGATCCAGCGATGTCATTGAGGCGGGAATTTCAAATTCGTTTTCATTGTCTGAATTAATTCATATTGATATCTTTCGCTTTCCCTTTTTCTTTCTTTCTTTCTTTCTTTCTTTCTTTTTTTTATTTTTCTTTTTTCTTCCTCTTTATTTTTTTATTAATTTATTTATTTTTATTAATACTATTATTTTATCCAAGGCAAAACATTCGTAATAACATTTTATCGACGAGTTTCGCGTTATAATGCTGTTTGTTTGAAAATAATCTGAAAAAAAATTGTTTATCCATTTTTATCGGTGCTTATAATGATAATAGGTATGTTCAATAGGTTTCATTTCTTTATCAATAGTAGAAAATAATGATTGATCATGAAAAGATGACTTGTTAGTTTTCTACATTATATATTTGAAAATGTATTATTAAAAAAATATTATTTAGGAGTGATGTAATATGCGTAATTGAAATGTACGATTACTTGCTTCGTCAAAAATATAATGATTTATCACGAAATTATTTGTGTGTTTTTTTAATGTCATTGGTTTATTTGAATATAATTTTTCAATGATATTTCTACAAGCTAATATCATATGTTCTAATATTCATTTTCTTTATCGAAAGCCAAATTTATCGTTTTAATGATATATGAGTTTTATAGATTTATATATTAAAAAATATTCCGAAGAAATTTCTAATACACATATTTCTATAATGGCATACATTATTCAGAATTGAAAGGTATCGTTTCTTTCATATATAAATTATCAAAATTGTTGTAAAAATTATCCATGTATTTTACATACATTATTTCTATGAAAATCATTTAAAAACATTTAAAAGCATTAACAAAAAATTACCAAATAGATATCATTTATCATACATTATAATATCTATTAACATATTTTATTAAAAAAAAAAAAAAAAAGGAAAAAAAAAATAAAGAAAATAAATTATTCTGTATAAATTATTTATAAATTACATATGCTAATTCATTTGAAAAT